TATATAATTCCATTTATATAAAATTCTAGAAATGTAAACTAATCTACAGTGACAAATCAGTATTTGCCTCACTGGGGAGGAGGGAGACAGAAAGGGATGGGTAGGAGGGATTCCCAAGGGCATAAGAAAACTTTTCGGGATGATGGATATGTACAAGCTTGACTGTAATAATGGTTTCATGAGTTTATACATATGTCAAATCTATCAAATTGCATGCTTTAAACAGTACAGTTTATTGCATGTCAATAACTCAATAAAGCTGTTTTTTTTAAAAATTTGAGGCAACATATATTTAAAAACACAGCATACAAAATATTTAAAGATGAAGTAGATGAGTCTATTAAAAAAAGTATATTCATTGTCACAGACACAATGATCTTTAAAATATCAAGTAAGACAACTATGAGCTAACGTAATTACTTTTTTATAACCCTCTCTTGTTTTCCATGACTATTTTATCTTTGCTGTTAACTAAGAAGGGGCTTCCATTTTGAGCAGTATTTCTTCCTAGGCATTCATGACTTTCATAAACTGAAGAATAATTTGATTCAGAGTACACAGAATCCTGATAAAAGTCAGCAGAATGACACAATAAACAAAGGTAAGCAGAAGATGCAGGAAGTCATTAAATGCCACTTCTTAGCCAAGTAAATCACTTACCACCTGCCATGTGCCTTTTTCCTAGTTAGCTAATTATTCCAACACTAATTTCCAAATTTGTTTGAAAAGTTACACTGAAATTTAATGTTCTACTTACCAGCTGTTTTTCTTGTTTCTCTAAAGCTGCTCGATCTCTGATTATAGCCCTCTGTGTACCTCGTAACTCTCGATTCTGTTCCTTTATTACATCTAGAAGAACCACAAAAGAAACCTAAATTTATGGGTTGTAAAATTTTCAATAGCATTTAAAATACTGGACTCAGAGATCATGACTAAAAAAACCCTATACTTTTTTTTTTTTTCAATTTAGAACAAGCACAGATTTATTTTGTCATCACTGCATACACAGTACACCAGTACACCTAGGTCTCTGATTTGTCATTCTACTCCTCACAGCACATTGTTTTATGTTGCATATTTTATCATCAATACAGGGAAGAAACCATTGCCCCTTGGGAGCTAGCACAGTGTTTCTCAGGTTTCTTTTTTTTTTTTATTTCAGCATATTGTGGGGGTACAGATATTTAGGTTATG